TTTCTTACAAATGTTTCTTTGGCAGATATTATAATAAAGCTAAGGAGCTATCCAAACTGTTCCGGAACCGTCCAGTGAAGCCTAACCAGCTAATACAGCATTATGTGGAGTTAGCTATTGAGAGTAAAGGTAATGTTCAAACATATCTTCTTCTTCTATATATATAAAAATGGATTGCTGTTCCTTAGTCTCGCTAAAACTCGAGAACAGCTGAACGGATTTATCTTATCTTAGTCTTGAAATGTTCGTGGAAGTTCAGGGAAGGTATAAAAGCTGAAAAAAATTGATTCATTAGTGGGAAAACCATAAAACAGCCTTTTTCTATTTCCCATACAAACGTTTTTTTTTGACATTAGATTTGACAACTAACTAATAAGTCAATCATTCTGTCGCACTTCAAAACACGTAGATTTATGGCTTACAGGTAAACTCCAAAAATATAAATAAAAAAACGTTATAGATATTTCTTGATTATAGGGCGATACGAAGTTCGCCAGGTCTTCTAGTTATATATAAATAGACTATGTATTATAGGATTTTATATATAGTAGAGCCTAGCATTGGTCATGTAACTATAGCTCGAACATGGTCTGGCTCGACCCGGGAAGTACCACCCTCTCACAGAAGATCGGCGTGAAGTAGCCTTTAATGGCTTCCTTTCGTTCTATGAGTGAGCGAGTCTTTTCCCTGTTCCCACCTTTTCCTGATATTCCCTATTCCAAAAAAAAATAATCAAGGTTGGCAACAGAGATGTTGAGGATGTATGGTCAATGGTAGCTACTGCCAACCAAGTAAACAAACTAGTAGTATCCTCGTTTGGCATTTTTAACATAAAAAAGGATAATTTTAATTATGTAAAGTGTATAATGTTTTGTTTTAGGCGAAAGAGGACGTTTTTTATCTTATTTATAAAGTTCTATACATTTTGTTTATGTGATTAAAACAATGTGAGCTCATTTTATTCCAGGAGCGTTCCACCTCCGTTCCAAGACACATCTGTACAAGTGGTATGAACTATGGATGCTGGATCAGATTGTGTTTGTGTTAGCAATACTCGCGATAGTATTCAGTCTTCTCAAGAAGGTAGCTGGACTGTTCATGACGAAACAGAAGAACAAGGGGAAGAAAGAAAAGAAGAATTAATAGAGTGATCATTAATGTTTATGAGTGTTTGTGTGCTATGTTGATCAAAAATTTAATTAATGATTTAGTAAAAACTATACATAAAAACTATTTAAATAAAATATTCATTTGTGTTTTGAGGTCCCTATATCTATTAATCAGTCAAAACGAGAATTCTTTATAATCTTCATATAAAAATAGTATCCTATATATTTGGTATATGGTGTTTCATGCAAAGAGTTAAAATCTTGTTCATACCAACTTTCTCCTGTTTGGACAAGAGTACCGATTCTCTTTGATAACTAGTTTGTCTTCTAGTGAACGCCGTCAATTTAGAGGAAAAGATTCTATAGAACAAGACACTGCTCTCGTAGTTTCTCTTAAAGTCTTTTAATCTTTTAATAATTTCTGTGACTGCAGTTACGGCTTCAGTCGCAGAAATTGTCATAATTTGTTAAGTAAAGAAGTAAGCAATAAGCTTTCTAGAAAGGACATTTTTAGAAAATATCAATTTATGTAAAAAAATAACAAGAGGCGTTTGAGTAGTCCCAATTTAAAATATGTCACTTCCTGACATCTGTTGGCAAATAGTAATACTACTTTTTGCTAGTTGCTTTTACTAATTGCTTTACCGACATAACAGCAGATGGCGTTGTTAAGTAACAGGAAGTCAATGAGTGTTTGTTTTGAGGTTTAACTAAGAAATTAATTGTTGATTTATATTGTTTTTTGTCTTCTTAATGTGTTCACTTAAAAATGCCTAAACAATATTTTAAAAAAGATAAAATAAATACTAATAACTCCTAAATAATGAGCAAAGCTCGGTGTCCAGATATTGACTTGTTAAAGAGTGATTGAGTTCAGTACTTATAGGACAAAACCAACTACATACTTATAATATTTATTAAGTATCTACTAAATATAAATGTAATAAAATAAAAGTATCTACTAAAAATAAATAAAATAAATGTGAATCATATTATCAACAAATTTTGACAAGCCCAAGCAATCGCAAATCAAGCATTGCACCCTAAAATATATTTACCAAATTAAAAATCCCACAATATATTTATATTACACTAGCTTTCCGCCCGCAACTTCACCCGCGTGGAGTTCGGTTATATCGCGTTTCCAAGAGAACCTTTCAAAGTCTGGGATAAAAACTATCCTATGTTCTTTCTGAAGGTCAACTTTATGTCTGTACCAAATTTCATTAAAATCAGTTCAGTGGTTTAGGTGTGAAAGCGTAACAGACAGACAGACAGAGTTACTTTCGCATTTATAATATTAGTAGGGATGAGAATGTTTGTATTTTCTTGTAATTCCTTGAAAAAATTACTATTTAACAGCATCAGTGTTAGTTTTTATCGTCTATAGTCACAATTTAACAAGTTTTCCTCGAACGTGTACAGAATTTTGTCTGAGCATTAATACGTTTTACGCATAAGAATACCAAAGATAATATTATTATGAATATTATTTAAATAATTAAGAGTTTACCCCAAAAAGGTAAATTTAAATAAATGATAAAGAATTAAATAAAAAGACAAACAGGATATTAATCTTCTACATCTGGGCTAATGAGTATCGTTTAAATTAAGATAAGAGGTTAAAATTAATATAAAATGCCTTATATTTTAAAATATTAATTATATTTTACTCAAAAATAATGCTATACTTTTCAACAATGTTATTTTTGTTTAGATACAAAACGTTTTTATATATAGAATTAAAATAATCTATTGTATAATAAATATGTATATAATTTTATGCACTTACACATATATCATCATCATCCTATCAGAGTCCACTGCTGAGCCTCTTCTCACATGGAGAAGGTTTGAGCATTAATCACCACGCTCTCAAAACGGGTTGGTGATTTCAAACTTATAGTTTGATATTACATATAAGTCAAGGTTACCTCACGATGTTTTCCTTTATCTGTCAGTGGTGTCTAAATACTCTTAGAAAGTACATAGGACTCTTAAAATCATATTGGTAGTTGCTAGGATTCGAACCAGCACCCTCATGCATGAGAGGCGGACTTTTAACCACTAAGCCACCACGTATATGGTGTTACAATAGAAAATTTGGTTGTTACGATTTTTAGTGTTACTAATAGAAAACTATTAAACTATAGGTTCTTACGTTAAAACATATACACTGCGTGCAAAAGTATTAGGCACCTCTATTGTTAGTCACTATCTCATTATATTGCGGTCAAGTGTGTGTTTTATGGTTTAGCTATTGTATTAGCGGCAATTTTTAACCAAATTAAGATAAAAGAAAATATTTATGACATCCAGGTGTGCTCCTAAGCGGTGTTTCTTCGAATTTGCTTTTTTTGCGTTTCGGGTTATAGTGTGTTATCAGTGCTTGCAGTGAACATACACGTCTTCTACGCAACTATTCCTATCACAATTCTAAAGACTAACAGACTTCGGCATGATTAACACATTTAACGTGTTAATCATGCCGAAAAAATCTGAACTTAGTGCTGAACAGCGTCTAAGAATTAAGATTTTACATGAACAAGGCATGTCTCAGGTTAAAATAGCCCGAGAAGTGAAGTGCTCGCGATGTGCAGTTCAATATGCTATAAATCGCTTCAATGAGACTGGCACCAATGAAAATAGACCAAGAACAGGCAGAAGAAAAGTTACTACTGAACGGGAAGATCGATTGTTGATTAGACAGTCTCTACAAAACAGGAAAAAAACTGCTTTAGAGCTCGCTGCAGCATTATCTGAGGCAAAAGGCAGCTCAGTGAGTGTTTATACTGTGAGAAGAAGACTTCTTAAAGCTGGATTAAAAGGATGTAAAGCAAGGAAGAAGCCGTGGCTGTCAGAACACAATAAGAAAAATCGGTTGGAGTGGGCACTTAAACATAGAGATTGGTCAGTGGAAGATTGGTCCAACATACTGTGGTCAGACGAATCTAACTTTGAGGTATTGTTATTTATTTTATGTACAATATTAAAACACATAAATGTTTTTAAAATAACGTACTGCAAGAAAAATAATAACTTTGAAAATAAATGTGTTTTTTTTCGTTTGGCATAGGTGTTTGGAACACCCGGTGTGACTTATGTTAGGCGAAGGGTTGGCGAAGAATACAACCCAGAATGTGTGGTTCCCACTGTTAAGCATGGTGGAGGCTCAATAATGATCTGGGGCTGCATGGCTGCCGACGGAGTGGGCGAAATGGTGTTGTGTGAGGGACGAATGAATAGTGTTAAATACACTGAAGTTCTGGAAACAGCACTAGCAACGTCGATAACGCAAATTTTCGGTGATACAAACACCGATGGCCTGAAATTTCAGCAAGACAACGCCACTTGCCACAAGTCCGCGCATACCATGAAGTGGTTTGCTGAAAATCATATTGATCTCTTGGACTGGCCACCACAATCACCAGACCTCCACCCGATTGAGCATATTTGGTCCATTTTAAAGAAAAATATCCGCAGGCACTCGATTAGCAATAAACAAGCTCTATTGGCCGCGTTACAGCAGGAATGGAAAAATATATCAAGAGAAGAATGTTTCAGGCTGGTAGAGTCAATGCCAAAAAGAGTGGCTGCGGTTATTAAGTCAAAAAGGTGGACCGACAAAATATTAATTATTTTCTTAAAATAAACCATTGTAATCATAAATGCAGTTTTATTTACACTCGCTATGCTAAAACACACTAAAACTTGTCTTACTGTAGGGTGCCTAATACTTTTGCCCGTGGCGTATAAAGGCGTATTACAATGACGCTTACTATTAGTTGTCATGATCCCTAGTACGTGGCTTTAACAGTTTATCATTGATAACTTCGTACGATCACGTACGAAGTATAAGAAACTAACTAAAAATGTATACGTATAAACAAGATGGAAACTCATGGTAAGTTTATACATCAAACTATACTTAAACTAGCATAGCTTCCATAATTCGTCTTTTCCTGAGCAATATCTTCTTCTTCCCGGTAATTTCCCAGCTTTAGCCAGGGTCTGCCTTACATGTTGTGAATAGTTTTGACTGATTGTTTTTACGACCGGCCCACTATGTGAAAACCCCGTCTTTTGCCGTCTCAAAATCCCTTCACATGAAAGTCGTTGTTATGGAGTAAAACTAATTAATTAATATAGTCTTATAAATAAGCTTTCTTTTCTATATTTTTAAAATTATTTTTTGCTAACCATAATATATATATAAAAAGGCATCAAAGTTAACTCATGTTCAAATATGTGATTTTAGCGCAATACATTACTACAATTCAACGCCACATTACTCGAAAGTTTTTGATATACTTAAATGTATAAGTATTATAGATTTTTGTAAGTATTAAATGCTTATAATCTCTTTATAACGTTTCTTAAATAATATTATGTATAATAAATAAATAAATTACGATTACCCAACATAGTTTAAGATGGTATAATTTTCGGGTTGCTTTTTTTTATCGAGTCCTAACCCTTTACCGCTGTTGAGATATTTGTTATATTACGATCTCTATATTATTAGTTTACACAAGGAGAAAAAGAAGTTACGCCTACTTGCGCCTTTTCTGTTACTGTTCCAAAACAAATTTAAATACTAGCTGTGCCCGCGACTTCGTTCGCGTGGAATAGTGACTATGAGCAGCGTTTTTTTGACATAACTTTTTTATTTATGAACCGATTGACATGAAACAAACACTAAAGCATAACTGAAGCATACCACAATATATACGTGAAAACCGCATCCAACTCGGATCAGCCGTTTCTGAGATTAGCGTGAACAGACAAACAGACAAATAAAAAGTTAATTACATTTTTGGGTTCGACATCGACATAACAATAACCCCTGCTATTTTTTTTATTTTTATTTTCAATGTACAGACAGCACTTTTCCACAATTTTATTATATGTACCTATAGATAGTTATATTTATTTTTTAAATAAATAAATTAACATAATTTTCGAAATTATTATTTTATATTAAACCTTACACTTTTACGTATATGTGTGTAAAATTATAGATCATTCAGTTTTGAAATAACTGAGATACGGAGTTTTGAGACGAAATGTACGCGATTTTCCTATTAAATGCGGCCGCCTGCCTGACATCAACCCTCTTTGGGAATGCATTAGTCAGTGATGTCTAAATACTCTTAGAAAGTACATATGACTCGGAAAAATCACATTGGTACTTGCGAGGATCGAACCCGCGCCCTCGTGCATGAGAGGCAGGCCTTTTAACCACTAGGCCACCACTGACTCATTCAAATTCAAATTCAAGGTCAATGACCCTAATTCATTTTGTCTTGAGCCTCGTCAAATCTACTCTCGATTCTGTTGACTTTGTATGTGATTTGTGTACTAAAACAATTTTATAGATCTCATAGTAATGTTCAAATCATAATTGATTTGATATTAAAGGAAAATAAAACCTATTAATATAAATTTAAGGCTTAAAATATGTTGCAATTCAAATAAAAAGGACTTGAAGGTAGTGTCGTGTTAAATATTTGAAACTAAAATGGTACCTATTTCTATTAATATTAGATGTCATATTGCTTTGTATGTTTTACGATATTAAAGCTTTTTGCAATTATGTATTTTCTTCAGTCCATACTGTGTAGTGTGAACATGCGCACGTATTAAATAGTGTCGAACTTAATTTATAACAAGAATAAAAAATATAACAGGTACAAAGTTTATTTTTAATATTTTTTACGGAAAAATAAAAATTAATTTAAATCCTATAGGTTACGGAACGTAAATATAATTACGTACGTAATATTTTCCGTGTTTTATATTTGTAAATTGTTTATGTTTAGTTACCAAATATTACGTCATATTATGTATATGTTCTTCTACCTGGCAATTTGCCAGCTTTAGCCAGGGTCTGCCTTACATGTTGTGAATAGTTTTGGCAAATATTTTTACGACCGGCTGCCTGCCTAATATCAACCCTCTTTGGGAACCCTCTTTTAATCAGTGATGTATAAATACTTTTAGTAAGTACATATGTATGACTCGGAAAAATCACATTGGTACTTGCGAGGATCGAACCCGAGCCCTCGGCAACGAGAAGCGAGCCCTTTAACCACTAGAAAACCACTGACTTCATATTATGTATATATATATATTTATACATTACATAGTCATGTTGTTTGTACCCTATAATTATCTGGCACTTATAAAGTACTTAGAATGAATTGTTCAGTTCTCCATTATTTAATTATTACGTATATACAAGCTTATCTTTGAAGTTGTCCATTTAACGAGCTAAATTAAAATTTTATTCTCATAATTTTAAACTATATACTAGATAGGGTTCCATCAAAATCTCTCCATCTTTCTTTCTATGTCAGTATTGTACTGACAAACAAATACTCATTTATTTCATGTATAAATTTGTATTTATTAATGCTTTATTATTGTGTACATCTATCTTTTGTTACATATAGTTAAGAAACTTTTTAACGACTTATTTTGTTTGACCAAAAATAATAAGGGTCTTTGCCCTATTTCGATAATTATATATACAATATTGAACTTGTTATAATAAATTTAGAATAAACATTCTTTACGATATTTCCTGTAATATCAATTTAATTATTAGTTCACATATAAAATAACATATTAACATTAACATACAATGATATTCTGTTACACACACACACATGTATGTAGATATATACATGGTGACTGGTGAATTACTATCGATATTTGAGGACGTGATATTTGACGATCATATATGACACAATAAAAATTAATATAACATAAATATTAATAAACTTCTAAGTAAAGTTAACCAAAAGTTATGTAATTAATTATGCATCGTGTGAACACCCTACAGATTAGGTATACACTCACACACACATACGCGTGCGGTGGCGTAGTTTTGTTTCAGCACGCCGCCGCACGGGTCCACACTTGGAACACTTGGAACGTGTCAACACTTTATTTATTTATACGGAAATTTGGTCAAAAATTAAGTACCTATTTTTTTTACATAATTCGAATGAGAATCATGTACCGAGTATTCTCCTTAAATATTGATAGTAATTCACCAGTCACCCTGTATATATGTTATACATGGTGTTCCAGCCATGAGGCGCGTGGTCCTGTTCCTGTGGCTCGCCTGCTGCGTGAGAGCGCACCACATCCTCTGCGTACAGACCGTGCCCTCCAGGAGCCACCACACGCTCATGATGGGCATCGCCAGGCCGCTCCTACACGCTGGACACCAGGTCAGGGACTTACATATATCATACTAGCTTTCCGCCCGCAGCTTCGTCCGCGTGGAGTTCGGTTATATCGCGTTTCCAAGAGAACCTTTCAGAAGTCTGTGATAAAAACTATCCTATGTTCTTACTCAAGGTCAACTCTATACGTACCAAATTTCATTAAAATCAGTTCAGTGGTTCAGGCGTGACAGCGTAACAGATAGACAGAGTTATTTCGCATTTATAATATTAGTAGGGATACAATGCATACTATATCTCAGTAACTGTTGGTAGTATTTAATAAATTCCTTCATAGTTACTAAGATCGTTTATTAGGGAAGGACACAGTGTGTGACGTACGATACTAATAGGAAAAGAAGACTCATTAAGAATGTGACTAAAATGAGGTATATTAGTAGTTTTTAATGTTTTATTTATAACTGTACTAATATCACAAAAGGGTATGTAAATATATCTGTGCTAAATTGTATTGTTTAGAAAATTAATGTAATAAGTTTCCTGTCGTTCAATATATTAATCATCTTTATAACAAAAGGTTATAATTAATTTTTCTTCTTATAAACGTACATTGAGATTAATGAAGAATTATTTTGTTGTTTATTTGTGATAGTAAGAACATGTGATTTGGGTTGCTTAGAAAATGTTTTAATGTCGAGTATACATAATAGATAATTTACATACATATATATACTAGTTTTTTGCCGCGTCTCCGCCTACGTAAACATCATAGTAATGTATAGTGTGTTAAATCAATACATATAGTGTCCTACGTCGCCGTCTGTTCATTGTATATAAGGTACACACAGTCAGCGCCGCCTGTCGGCTGGTTTGTGAATCATCATCATCTGGAGCGGCGCACGATGATACAGACATACATACAGATCGGTACACACGATTAGTACAGTGACATACACACGTACAGAAGATGTGTGTGTGTGTGTGTGTGAGTGTGTGTGTGTGTGTTCCGAGTACACATCATTCATAGACCACATGTTCAAGGTCGCTGATAAGTAATTACAATCAGTTGTCAAGGTCGCTGCGTATTATCTCACAATACTCAGTCTCTCCGTACGAACTGTATACAGACATACATACACATATATCCCTACTAATATTGTAAATGCGAAAGTAACTCTGTCGGTCTGTCTGTTACGCTTTCACGCCTAAACCACTGAACTGATTTTAATGAAATTTGGTACAGACATAGAGTTGACCTTGAGAAAGAACATAGGATAGTTTTTATCCCAGACTTTTGAAAGGTTCTCTTGGAAACGCGATATAACCGAACTCCACGCGGGTGAAGCTGCGGGCGGAAAGATAGTATATTATATATACTATCACTGACAGCTGTTCCTTGACTTTGAAGTACATCGTTTTATAATAAAACATTTTATAACTATACTAAGAACTATGTTTAAATGAAAAAAATTGTATGAAATCAGTCAGTTAGTGTGATTGACAGATACATCGATAAAAATATTTAAATATATGTATATAAACTACATATATTAAAATGAATTGCTGTTCGTCAGTCTCACTAAAACTCGAACAGCTGAACGTATTTATCTTATCTTAGTCTTGAAACGTTCGTGGAGGTTCAGGGAAGGTTTAAAAGCTGAAAAAAATTTAATCATTTCCGGGTAAACCCTAAAAACAGCCCTTTTCTATTCCCCATACAAACGTTTTCTTTGACATTAGATTTGACAACTAACTAATATGTCAATCATTCTGTTCGATTGAAACAGGAAAAACCGGATTATTTATGGCCTCTAAGACGGAATAGAGTTCGTCCGGTCAGCTATACATATATTACTAATGACGAAATTAAGGCGGACGAAGTCGCGGGCAAAAACTAGTTAATAATAATAAATGTTTTGTCTATTAAAATATCATTACAGTTATCCTTAGTCCTAGCTAGCGTCAAACTAAACACTATCTTTTTCCCGTTTCTCATACTTATTTTATTACTATAGTTTGTTACTTATATATTGTTGACTTTTGATAAATAGACCTTACATATTGAAAGAATAAAATCGGTCTAGAAGTTGCTGAGATTAATATAAACAAATTCTGAAATAAATTAAACCAATATTATTCGGATTTCTACGCGTATATTATTATTTTAAACTACATACTCCCGACGTATACAGGTACATACCGTGGTTAATCCGTGAGGCTATTGAAATTAAAAAACATCCCAATTTCAATAGAAAAGATGGCTAGATCCAAAATCTCTATATATAAAATCCCATGTCCGTGACCACACCGCAGGACCTCGAGACACCGTGAGCGCATTTCGCCGGCATCCAGAGCAGTACGCTAGAAAATTAAGAAATCGGTGGAGGTAGGTGATAAAATAACAAGACCAACTGACAGACACATCTCGTCTTTATGATCACGGTTGTAAAGTGACGTCGCCAGTATGTAGTTAAAATAATAAACTACGCGTAGTAATCTTTATAATATTAGTTTCATTTAAATGAATACTTATTTTTCATGTATATAAGTAATGTATGTATGTACAGGTGACAATGATAACGACGTTCCCGGAGGAGAAGCCAATGAAGAACCTCAGACACATAGACGTGGGCCACATACGGGACATGGTGCCGAGTAAGTTGAAGGACGAGGAGCTGCCTACATTAGTACTATGAGCGAACTTAGGACGAGCTGTAACGACACACTACATACACACAGTTTGAAGTTCATTCTTATACCATTTATTAGTGCGTTCAATAGTGTCTTATCGCTTACCTCTGACCCGAGAGTAAAGTAAGAGTATAATTGATTACTCGAAAAGGTCCAAGAAGTCCCAACAGATTGTGACGAGGTTATAAAGTCGTTTTCTAACGTTATTCAAACCTCTGGCCTTCCCAAAAAGCAGTAATAGATATGAGTTTCGGAGTCAACGAGAGAAGTGAGTTTTTAACCCAGCCTCTAACTGTAGGAAGGTGTTACACTGAAGTTAAGTTTAGTGTCCCTTTAATCTATCGCTATGATGACGAAAATACGTCGACGCCGAAACTCCTATTTATACGCACGTTCGTTCAGTCCCTCTAAGTAATAGAAACAGCTTATAAAAGGAAGCCCACATTTAGATAAACTTGCGTCTTAAGTCAATCAGTCCATGGATTTGTAATCAAAAATAAAGCGAGTTTTAGCTAGTGATGACAACATATCTTGGAGCAGTTCTAATTATGAGCTTTTTTTACAGATGTTGTGTTGACAGACACCTCAGGATTCAGCCACAACTTCGTGAAGGAGTTCGCGAGGAACATATCTCGGAGTACGCTAGAGACGCCGGCAGTGAGAGAAGCTCTCATCAAACAGAACTTCGACGCTGTGGTCACTGAGTGGTTCTTCTCGGATTCTGATGCTGGGTAGGTCCACTAACCTTTGTTGGTACGGACCATATTATTGTTTTGAGTATGTATATTTAGAATTCTTTATTAATACCAGATACGCAGCAGTCCAGCAGGCTCCATGGATTCTCCTCAGCGGTATGCTGATGCAGACCCATCTGGAGAATATCATTGACAGCGTCAGATCAATACCAACTATTCCAACGTTTATGAACGACGCGCCAATACCCATGAGCTTCTGGCAGCGCCTGGTCAACACTGGTTCTTATGTCCTCATGACTGGTGCTAACATGTGAGTAAAAATTTGACAAGTTGATATGACTATTATTGTGTACTACTGTTATTTTTTGAGGTCAACTAGGGGAGAATGCTTGTAGCATTAGGTCCGTCATTTCTCATTTCGGGCAATAATGACAAAATAGATAAATATTAAATCTATATATGTATATACAAGTCTATGACAGGTCCTCAAGTGACTAGAAAAGATATATGTTAAGATGAATTATTATCACTAAAGTCTAGGAAACTCAATGTACATTTTACTTCAAGTACAATTAAAATTATAAGGAACTTCATTGAAGCTGGAAAAAATATAAGCAGGATTATGGAAAACATGAAAAGTCACATTATACGTGAAGTTCATTTTGTTATTTAACTTAAAGTACAGTGTGTGTCGAAATAAAAAAGATTTTCTTTAAAACACTAAAAACGTGGAAGAAAGGGTTGAAATGTAAATGAAAATGTTCATTTCAGACTGGACCAATCTAGGATGGAATCAAACTACGTATCAGACTTCTCCGCTATATCTTCAGCCCGCGGAGTTCCTCTCCCGCCGTACAAGGATGCTCTTTATAACGTGTCCGTACTGCTAGTTAACTCTCACTCGTCCTTCGCTCCAGCCAGGAGTCTGCCGCCCAACGTGGTGGATATAGGGGGCTACCATATCGATGAGAACATTGCACCACTACCCAAGGTCTGTATGAAATTAGTGTTTTAATTTTGACAATAATTTGAATAGCTCACACATATTTTCGGGTCTCTGGAGTCACCTACTGGTTCTATAACTGCTTCGACATCTAATCTGTTGTCTCTAGAGAAAACACTTAAAAAACAATCTAATTTTAATCAAGCAGAGCAAGTTTTTGGTCTAATAAAATTAAACTATTGAAAGACCTTATAGAACTTCAAAATAGTGAGTCAAAAGAATAAGTGGTGGGTATTCAAATACCCTTTTAATTCATATCTCAAGAGATGAACTGCTAATGCCCATAGCAATTGCAAAAAAAATATTGTGCCAATGATCGTTACAAAGTCACAAAAAAGACGACTTTTGAATCTTCTCGCACTACTGATGTGTTCTTTAAATGGCTTAATATTTGCATCTATCTATCTGATTGTAGAAAGACACGGTTCCCCTATCATTTAAAAAACTGTCTCAATAATAGCTTCTAATCTCCAGGATCTCCAAGACCTTCTGGACTCGTCTAACAAAGGAGTCGTATACTTCAGTATGGGTTCCGTGTTGAAGTCAGCTCAATTGCCGGAGAAGACTAAGAAGGGTCTTATCAAATTATTCAGCGAGTTGCCTTACACGGTACTCTGGAAGTTTGAAGAGAAGATTGAAGGTCTTCCCAAGAATGTTCACGTCAGGCCCTGGATGCCACAGTCCAGTATCTTAGGTATGTTTTATAATTATTATTATTATTCTTTGTAAATACATATATTAATACTTTGAAACTTTCTGGCAGCTCATCCAAATGTACGAGTATTTATAACACACGGTGGTCTTCTATCAACTCTGGAGTCTCTATACCATGGAGTTCCTCTCATCGCGATCCCCGTGTTCGGAGACCAGCCTGGGAACGCCAAGCGATGTGTAAGGGAGGGCAGAGCTCTGATGGTCACTATCGGTGAAGACATGGCTCAAGATTTGGAGAAAGCTCTTAAAGAGATGCTCGGGAACGACAGGTAAAATACAGAAAAGCTACGATATTTTTGTTCACAGTCACGTCAAAGAGTGAAGAAGATTTCATAAACATATTGATATTTTTTTAAATATGAATGAAGGAAATGTCATCGTAGACCATTGCTTTTGTTTAATCAAAATTTAACTGTGGATTGTAAGGAATTTTACAATTAACATACTTAATCACATTACTTTCAGTTATTATAAAAAAGCTAAGGAGCTATCCAAACTATTCCGGAGCCGTCCAGTGAAGCCTAACAAGCTGATACAGCATTATGTGGAGTTAGCTATTGAGAGTAAAGGTAATGTTCAAACATAATATATAATTAGACTATGAGACTAAACCTTTTAGCATTCAATGTATTTACCGTGCGTGTGTCGGGCCCATCGTTGTAGTGAGAGGAGCTTCAACAGTGACTGTGACTTGTGACCCAGGTGTAGGTTTAAGGGGCCCTATATAACGTTATACGCTCACCTCCACTGTCCAAGCTCCTCTCTCTACCTAACCAAATTTGAAAAGAATTTACTAGGGCTACATATTTCTCTTAATGGATGTAAAACAAGCTCATTTTATTCCAGGAGCGTTCCACCTCCGTTCCAAGACACATCTGTACAAGTGGTATGAACTATGGATGCTGGATCAGGTCGTGTTTGTGTTAGCAATACTCGCGATAGTGTTCAGTCTTCTCAAGAAGATAGCTGGACTGTTCATGACGAAACAGAAGAACAAGGGAAAGAAGGAAAAGAAGAATTAATAGAGTGATCATTAATGCTTATGTGGTGTTGGTTACAAATTAATGGTTAACAAGGAATTATGTTGTTGTAAAGATTTTTTGTAGTACTTTTTTAATTATATAATATTTGTTTTTTTACATAATATTGTAAGGTTAAATAATTTTTCTCATAACCTTGTTGAATGAGTGGTAATTATCCAGGATTTTTTGTTTCCATAAAAAAAGTAAGGCCTAAAATGAAAAACTAAATTACAGATACATTTTATTAAATGCCATTATATTCGACTTTTAGAGATATTCATTATCTTTTATTAACATTGTTTTATCTTTATTTAAAATGAAGTTATTTTAATAAGTGTTTATATACAAATAATCTTGTTTTTTCTTGTTTACAAGGTCACAACAACCATAAGTGAGTTCGTGTAATAGATTTTAAAGTTCCATTAATTAAAGAGTCGTTCTTAAAATAGTCCACTTAAATTCATTTGGCATTGAAGCGAAAAAAACATGGAATATATTGCTTGTTGAAATAAAAAACTTAAAGAACATTTGGAATATTTTTTATTATTATTTCTTGTACTGTTTTGAAACGGTTTATCAGTCAAGTTAACGTTTTTAACAACGTTAACAACTTTTTTACAATATCATCAATTATTTTTTTATTTATAGTAATTATGTAATGTATTTTAATACTTTACATTATCTTAAATTACATTTTGAGACTTATTTTTTCGTGGTTTTTGGCCTCACATTATTTTTAATAGCATAGTTGAATGAGAATGCTTCAGTATTAAGCCTGCATTTTGTGTAAGTATTCGATATATATATAACAGAATCTACACAAAAATTAAATTGAAAATGAAGAAAAATAAAACAATCTCTAAGACACAAAAGAAAATATTATACATATGTATAATTGTATGTGCAATTTCTAAAAACATATCTTTGATATTATTAAAATATATGTCTCTTTTCTATTTGAGTTAATAATTAGTTACGACAAAACTAGCGTTTAATTATCCTCTATCTCAATGACTATTCAGTTTTTTTCTTATCATTTTTAAACAATTTCTTTACTAATCCTATAAACATTTTGATCATCTTGAATATTAAATAGAAGATGATGCTGAAGACAGCTAGTTGGTCCAGCATCAGAAGTTGGTACCAGGAGTATAGTTGAGCTTTTGAGCGAAGATGTTGAGCTCCTGGAATAAAGATATAAAAATATAAATATAAATAAAAACCCGCCTCTCATGCATAAGGGCGCGGGTTCAAAACCCGGCAAGTACCAATGTGATTTTTCCGAGTCATATGTACTTTCTAAGAGTATTTAGACACAACTGACAGACTGTGAAGGAAAACATCGTAAGGAAACTTTTACTTATAGTTTCAAATTGTAAATATAAATCGCTAAACCGTCTTGAGCGAGCGTGGTGATTAATGGTCAAACCTTCTCTATGTGAGAAGATTCAGCTCAGCAGTGGGCTCTGATAGGCTGATGATGATGTAATTAGCAAATTTCATGATTAAAATATTCTCTAATACAAAGATGTAACATACATATTCAGGAAGAGATAAGCCACAATGATTTTCTAAAGTAAATATTTTGGTCGACGCCATATTCATATAATTCTTTCTCGAAATGAATCTAATATTTTCTTATAGGTACTACGCGTATTTTATTATTTTAACTACATACTCCCGACGTTTCAGTTACTTTGCAGCAACCGTGATCATTAAGACGAGATGACTAAATATGAGAATAAGCGGTTGCTGCAAAGTAAGCGAAACGTCGGGAGTATGTAGTTTAAAAAAATATATTAGTTTCATTTAAATAAATACTATCTATTCTTAGATCTCATTAATTCTTACTCTATCTTACCATAAGTAAACTTACCTTTCGTCTCAATAGCCAGTTCAATGTAGTGTACAATGAGCGACGCAGGCGATACGGGACGATTCCTAAACAATTTAGACAGGTACTTGGCTCGCTGGTTATATCTGAAGAGAAGAAAGGATTATATGACTTATAGATCATATTAAGTAAAAGATATCTATGTATAGCTAATTTCCCAAAGAGGGTTGATGTCAAGCAGGCGGCCGGTCGTAAAAACAATTAGCCAAAACTAGTAAGGCAGACCCTGGCTAAAGATGGGAAATTGCCAGGAAGAAGAAGATCTAAGTATAGCTTATTGTTATTAAATTTATTTTCTACCTAAAGCCTTAAAATTTTCTTTCAATACTTACTTGTCATCGCTCAATATTTGCTTCAGGCCTATCTTCAAATTTTCTGGTAAATTCTCATCGAAATTAACTCTAATAGCTCGTCCCTCTCTTGTCGCGGTATCAGCATTATGTGGCTGGTCACCAAATACTGGAACAGCTAGCATCGGTACTCCATGATGAAGAGCCTCCAAAGAACTCAGCAGACCGCAATGGCTGATGAAGAGTTTGATGTTCGGGTGCGCTGTTTGGAAACAATGCTAATTAATTAGAATAAAAATAAAAAAAGAGTCACTGTCTCCCTTAGACAACTGCAACATGTCTTATGTAGCGTTATATGTAACCTTTATTATTGAGGAAGAATGTGGGCTGCCAATAAGGAAATGTTGGAAAGAGGTGGGAATAGGAAAAAGGCAACCGGCTCTCTCACTCATCGGACGATACGCAGCCATTAAAGACTACTTCACGCCGATCTTCTGTGAAAGGGTGGTGCTTTCCCGGTCGAGCCAGCCCATGTTCGAGCTGTAGTAACTGACCACAGCTAAGCTTTGCCATTTTCAAAAATATAGTAATAATTGTTTCGTTTCAGTAATTTTTACTATAAGCAAAACTTACCTAGTATGCTAACTTGAGGGATCCATTTTCTCACGTGTATATTTTTCGGTAAGTTTTCGATGTCTTCTTCGTATTTCCATAAAACGGGAAAGGGAAGTTCTCCCAAAACTTTGATCAGTTCCTGTTTCATCTTTGGAGGGAAGTTGGAGGATTTTAGCAGCGAGCCCATGCTGAAGTAAATAAAACCTTGTTGGAATCCATCAACGAGATTTTTGAGATCCTAAAATGTACATGTAACTTTTAGTTTCCTTTTATCTTAACATATATCTTACGAATTATTCTAAGTTTTTATCTAAGTGATGATTAATACGAAACCTTTGGCAACTCCTGTGCTTCATCAACAAAGAATCCTCCGATTTCTATAGCATTCGGTGGAAGAACATTCGGTGTGGAGTATGATGGATGAGAATTAATAAATAATATTGATATATTATGAACAGCTTCTGAAAATGGAGGGAGAGTGACTCCGCGGGCTTCAGCTAGTGGGGAGAACCACTCGTTGTATAGAGACGCGTGGACAAATGATTCCTTACTAGAAAATAAGAATTTGCATATTTATTTGCGGAATAATGTACTTAAAATTAATATAATTTCCATTATTCCAACTTACATAGAATCCAATTTCATTATGACATAAATGAGAGTGTTTAAACACCTCTGTAGAAAGTTCATTGGGATAGGGAAGTGAAATATCATTGTGGGATGAACTGGGATGGAGCGTGTGGTGTCAATGAGATATTCCAAGTGTGGATGGTAGATGACGCCGCTGAACAGAATCCAAGGAGCTTGCTGGATAGCTGCATATCTATGTACAAAATGAGGATTATTGAGTAAAAAACTTCGTCAGATAGACATAAAGGTAAAAATTAACAAGCCTGAAATTACATGACATACTATAAGGCAGTGTTTTTCAGTCTTTTTGACATCGCGACCTCTTTACGTATTAAAAAATTTTGGCCATCCCCTTGTGCTATACAGGCAAGGCAATTCTTAAATTAAAAGTCTAAATACATATTAAAGTTAAAGAAATTCTCTCCAATGGTGGACATTAAAACGTAACGGAGGTATAAACTTCAATTACAAGTTGATTTGTTAGTTAATATACCCTTTTTCATTTTCTTTTTTCCGGCGATTCTCTAAGTAGTCGCTTCACATAGTTTGAAAAACACTGCTACAAGGAATTGTCATAAAATATTTGGTATATTAAAACTATTCAGATGTGTACTCTTCCGGTAGGGTCGCGAGGCAAGCACTCGTAATACCGTGGCCCTGCCTAGGTGGCGTGGAAGAGGAAAACCCAGGGTTTTTAGTGGGTCTAAACCCCACATAACCCGGTCAAGTCCCTGCTCGGCCGGGTATCTGTGAGCAGATTTGCTCTGGGAAAACAAAAAAAAAAAGATGTGTTCTCTCTTACCCAGCTTCCATATCTGATAAAAACCATTCTGTGACGACAGCGTCATATTTATTCTTCACCAGGGCTGATCTAAATTCAGAATGATGAGTAGTTGCTGTCGATATATTGCGTGTCAATGTTTTGATGTCAGACAAACTCGTCACCTTGTTTTCCATGGCTGGAATAAGTGAAATGGTATTTCAGTAAGTTATTCTTAATGAATACATTATTATATTTTGGTTAAATTAACCATACATTGAGAGAATTCAGTCAAAAAGCTGACATCGATGATAGTCAGGTTACTGTTTATTGGTGTTTTGTCAGGATACGGAGTTACCCAGGTCACCTGAAAGTTACGAACAGAAATCACATTCTCATAATGATCTCTTTTTGAGTTACATTTAAATGTAACTTAGTTTTTCTTATACTACATGTTTACTTTTACGGCAATTGATCATGAACACAAGATGAAATTATAATAAAAAGTACTGGTACACAAAAACATATTGTGGTTAAAGAACTTTATTTATCTCTCATAAAGAACAATGTTCACTTGAATGAGATGTAAAACACAATTCAATTCAAACAACAATTTAGTACAGTAGCAACGAACCATAGAACTCAAGAGCGGTTAATCCAAGTGCTCCCTACAATAATCCAATAGTTTCCTCCTAAAAATCACAAACGTTTTTTCATCAAACACTTCGTCAGGCAAGCCATTATATAGTTTCGCTCCCTCAAACTGTATACTTTTAATTCCATATTTGGTCCTGGTCTTGGGTAATTCAAGTTTGTGTTTATGTCTCGTGTTATGTTTGTATGTTTTAGTTTTAAATGTTATTTGTGTGTGTATTGATTTCGTAAGTATTTTTCTAATTAATATGCATGTTTTATATTTGTATAACTGGTTAATTGATAATATATTTGTACGTTTATATAATTCCTCAGTTGACATGTGATAATCTAAATGGAACAAAGTTTTTATTAATTTATTTTGCGAAATTTGAAGATCCTTTATATTAGTTTTAGATGCACTTCCCCAAATCTCAACAAGATATTCCAATAAAGGTTTGATAAGTGAGTTATATATTATAATACGAATCTTGTGTGGTATACAACGTGATGATCTACGTATGGCTCCAGTAAGTGAGGTTATTTTTCTTTGTATATAATCTAAATGTGCATGCCATGTTAATTTCGGGTCTAGGATCAGGCCTAGATATTTTTCTTGATTTGATTGTTGGATAGTCAGGTTATTTATCGTTAATGGAGTGAAATTTGGAATTTTCTTATTTTTTGCATGAAAAAGCATGAAAGAGGTTTTTTTAATATTTATAGTGAGTAAATTATATTGAAACCATTCGTGTAGTTTATCTAAATCGTTCTGTGCTTTTACTAATAGACGTTCTATAGAATCCTCAAAGTAAAACAAACAAGTGTCGTCTGCATACAGCGATACTTCCCCAAATAAACCTAGGTTACTAATATCATTTATATATATTAAAAATAGCAAAGGCCCTAAAATGGATCCCTGCGGAATTCCATAAGTTATAAGTTTTGGTGTACTTTTAGTATTTTCAATCTTAACTATTTGTTGTCTGTTTGTAAGGTATGATGTAAGTAATTTTAAAGCTGATCCATAAATACCAATACTGCTTAATTTATTTATCAAAATAGTATGAGACACGGTATCGAAAGCTTTTTTTAAGTCTATAAATATACCTAAAACTAATTTCTTTTGATCAATATTATTTTTTATTTTAGTAACTAAATCGATTGTTGCAGATAATGTATTACAGTTTTTCCGAAAACCATATTGCTGTTGGAAAAAAAAATCAATGTCATTAAGATAATTATTCAGACGTACATGTATTACTTTTTCAAATACCTTCGATAAAGCTGGTAGAACAGATATCGGACGGTAGTTTCCAGGATCAGATTTACAACCTGATTTATAAATGGGACCGACTTTTGCTATTTTTAGGGAATCAGGAAATACTCCTTCTTTTATACACTTATTAATACAATGGCTTAAATCTCCACACAGTATTCTGTTAATACATTTTAATGATTTTATTGTGATATTGTCTATACCTGAGCTAGAATTAGCATTTAAATTTTTAATAATTGTTTGAATTTCAGTTTTCGTGGTTTGCTTAAACTCATTAAATCTGTAGGGGTGTCTTTGTGTATGTGTTATGTATGCTGTTGTTTTGTGATATTTCTTTGGTATATTATTTGCCAAGATTGGACCAATAGAAGAAAAGTAAATGTTAAAAGACTCACATATGCCCTGAAGATCACCAATAGTTTTATCATCTATTATTAGTTTTGAGGGAACAACACTATTTTTATTCTTATACATATTATATCTTAGATATGGATTTAAATTTATTGACTAATTATGTGTGGTTAAAGACATTTATTTCTCAAAAGAAATTACATTTCAGTTAACGAGAAAACAATTATATATACAGTTACATAAAAATACTGCAAATAAATTTGGTTAGGTAGAGAGAGGAGCTTGGACTATGTAGGTGAGCGTTTAACGCGTTAGATAGGGGCCCCTTAAACACTGTTGAAGCTCCTCTCACTACAACGATGGACCCGACACCCGCATAATGAATACATGGAATGATGAAAAGTTTAGTCTTTAAGCTAATATCAATAATAAGAGCTTACCTTATGTCCAGCTTTCAATAACGGTAGTACAATACCCTTGGCTAAGTTGTGATGACTGATAGATGGAATGTGATGGATACAAAGAATATTGTATCCATAGACTGACGAGGTCGTCAAGAGGAGAAGGAGACAGGTCTTCATGGCTATGAAAGAAAATATATTTTCTATATATAATAAAATAAAGTTTAAAAAACTATTAAATCGACACACTAAGTCTTACAATATCCATATTTCATTGAGGTGTAAAAAGTTGTGAAGCCTTATATACTAGTTTCTGCCCGTGACTTCGTCTGCTTCAATTTCACAATAAGAAATGTGTAGCTGACCGGCTAAATTCTATTCCTCCTTAAGGCAGAAGATAAGAAGAGTTTTGATTCGATCAACTTATTTTTCGTTTTTTTAATTTTCATTCAAACCCGTACAGCCGTTCTTGAGTTATAAATAGGGTAAATAACACGACTTTCTTTTATACATATATATATGAATACATAAAATTGCATTTTTTTATTCGATAAATACTTTCAAATTCTTTATATCTTTCCACATATTCTTACTAATCTAGATATTTCACCAACAAATTTATAAGTACGTAATATTTGACTCATATTAAATTTGACTAGTTTTTAGTAAAACACAAATTACCTGACACACAATCGTCGTTCATGACACAACACTATTTACTATTTTATTTATCACTTACTGTAATCTTTGATATAAAATATTTGTACGTTCCAAAGGTTATTTAAGTTTACTAAATACATATATATCAATAATGATTTCGACATTTATATTATCATAGTATGATTAAAGATAGTATTACTCATATATCTTATATATAAAATTCTCGTGTCACGGTGTTGGACAGAGAACTCCGAAACGGCTGGACCGATTTTGATGAAGTGAGCATATTTGAGTAGCTCTGAAAATTGGATAACATCTATTTTTCATACCCCTTGTTCAAACTTAGTTATTTTTTTTCGGACGAATTTTTTGGTATTTATTTTTTTTATAATGTAGCATTAAAAGTACATACAACCCAAAATGTTTACTTTTTTATCACCAACCCCTATTTTCTACATGTAACAACAACGTTTGCCGGGTCAGCTAGTTAGATATATTCAAATTATCTTCACAAATAAATAAAATTGCAGTGTCTATCTTTACTTCTTCTTCTACCTGGCAATTTTCCCAGCTATAGCCAGGGTGTGCCTTACATGTTGTGAATGGTTTTGGCTATTTGTTTTTACGACCGGCCGCCTGCCTGACATCAACCCTCTTTTGGGAATCAACATTAATTATTGATGTCTAAATATTCTTAGAAAGTGCATATGATTCGGAAAAATCACATTGGTATTTGCCCGGGCCGGGATCGAACCCGCGCCCTCGGCAACGAGAGGCGGGCCCTTTAACCACTGTGCCACCACTGACTTGAGTGTCTATCTTTACATTTAATGATAATGGCTATCATAATAAAACTTAGATATTATATACCTATTACAAAATGTAAAAAATAAATATAATAAATAATAAAATTCATCTCGGTGTGACTAAGATCAAAAAATATTTCCTCTTATGAATCACGAATCATTATCACGATTACGTGGAAGTGAAAAAGGTTACTTCAAACATTTGATACAATATTTTTGTTGTAAAAAATAAAAAAAAAAGCATAAAACATAGTAGTTTAATAGAGATTATATTATGAAACATATTAAATTTGTTTAGTTTTGAATATATACTAGTATTTTGCCCGCGACTTTGTCCGCGTAAGTTTCATAATTAAAAATGTATAGCTGAGCAGGTAATCTGTTTCGATTTAAAGGCTGTAAATAAACTGATTTTGGATTTTATTAGCAATTTATTTTAGCTCGATCGAATTCAAAAAAACTATATCCGTCTCCTTGTTCTAATCTATCTCTTCACCAATTTTCAACCATATCCGTACAGCTGTTCTTGAATTACATATAAATAGTGTAACTAACACGACTTTCTTTTATATATAAATAAGTGAATTTTAATAAACTAGCTAATTCAAATGACTCGGTTCTCTTTATTATATTTAAAATATTAATACCTAATATTTTTAAATATGCAAGCAAATACACGTATCTGAACATGTCTTATAACAATTTAAACTTAAATAATGACAACGGGTTATTCCCTTACAGATAACAACAAAATGACTCGACAAATCTATGATAAGAAAATTGCAATATCAGAATGAATATGTACTTAATAATTATTTTAATCCATTTCCATACTTATTTTGAGTAAAATTGTTTTTTAGAAATGCTAGCGAGAGGTAAGACAGCTATCTCTATAACCTACTAAAAGACTTGGGTCTGTCCAGAACTAATATCAATTCATTCTTAGAACGAATTTTTAAGGCAGCCCTAGTAGGTTCGTTACAAATTTGGTAGAGAGAGGAGCTTGGACGGTGGAGGTGAGCGTTTAACGCGTTAGATAGAATCCCTTAAGCTTCACCTGAGTCACAAGTCACAGTCACTGTTGAAGCTCCTCTCACTACAACGATGGACCCGACACACGCACCGTGAATACATGGAATGATGAGAAGTTTCATCTCTGTCCTCTTTTGTGATAAATGGTAATTAACTGAAAACCATTAATATGCTAATATATAAACATAAATATATAGCGTCATTGCCATCCTTGTATATAATATAAAACTTAAATAACAAATAATTAGATAATTAAACTTTATCCTTGTTCAAGTCACGTTTTACATCTCATTAAAAATTTAATTTTTTTAACCAAAATAGCTATCATAATTGACATATGACTAGTCATTAATGTGTTACTAGTTTTTGCCCGCGACTTCGTCCGCGTGAACATCAGAGTTCCTCTCATCTAGTAATGTATAATATGTTAAAACAATACATATAGTGTCCTACGTCGCCGTCTGTTCATTGTATATAAGGTACACACAGTCAGCGCCGCCTGGCGGCTGGTTTGTGAATCTACCTCATCTGGAGAGACGCACGGATGATACAGACATACATACAGATCGGTACACACGATTAGTACAGTGACATACACACCTACAGAAGATATATATATACTATTTATAACTCAAGAACAGCTGTACGGGTCTGGATGAAGATTAGTGGAAAGATAGATTAGAACAAGGAGACGGACATAGGATATTTAATTCAGTTCGATCGAAAAAATAAGTATTAAGTAATAAACTCCAATATCTGGTTATTTATGGCCTGTAAGGCGGAATATAGTTCGACGGTTAGCTATACATAATTACATACATATATTACTAAATAAGAAATTAACGCGGACGAAGTCGCGGCCAACTATTAGTATAATATACAATATATTTTATGCACTATTTTTTACACTCAGTTTTCCTTATTTGATTGATTACAAACAATATAATTATCTCCAGTAGATTTCACCTTTGACTCCGAAGCTATATAAAGAATATTGTGTCTTAAGAATAATCTAAAATCCATTATCGTAATTATGATATTACATTATTGTTTATCATTTGTTTATGTTAAACTAGCTTCCCGCCCGCAGCTTCGCCCGCGTGGAGTTCGGTTATATCGCGTTTCCAAGAGAACCTTTCAAAAGTCTGAGATAAAAGCTATCCTATGTTCTTTCTCAAGGTCAACTCTATGTCTGTACCAAATTTCATTAAAATCAGTTCAGTGGTTTAGGCGTGAAAGCGTAACAGACAGACAGACAGAGTTACTTTTGCATTTATAGTATTAGTAGCCAGTAGGGATAGCAACAAATATGCACAGACTTACGAGTCATATGTACTTTCTAAGAGTATTTAGACATCACTGACAGATGAAGGAAAACATCGTGAGGAAACCTGGACTTATAATATCACAATTATAAGTTTGAAATCACCAACCCGTCTTGAGTGAGCGTAGTGATTAATGCTCAAACCTTCTCCATGTGAGAAGAGGCTCAGGAGTGGGCTCTGATAGGATGATTATAAATGCGAAAATAACTCTGTATGTTACATTTTTAGGCCTAAACCACTGAACCGATTGTGATGCATTTTAGTATAAAGATAGATGGGACCCTGGAGAAGGACATATTCTTTTATCATGATCCAGTAACTACACGAGTGAAACTATGAAGTTCAGTTTTGGTTCAGTTGCCGTAGTGACAGAGAACAACTTTGATATTTGCGAAGATGGAGTCGCGGGCAAAGCTAGTATATATGATCCTTAAGATTGTATACACTAATCTCTAGTATACAAAATTAGCAAGATTTAAGTACACAATAAAACAGTATTATATATAAAATTTATTTATTAAACAATTCACTTAATAATTATTTTATAAATACTACTATATCTTCTTCTTCTACCTGATAATTTCCCAGCTTCAGCCAGGGTCTGCCTTACATGTTGTGGATAGTTTTGGCTGATTGTTTTTACGACCGGTCGTCTGTCGGACATCAACCCTCTTTGGGTTTATAAATACTACTATGTATATAGCTAATAGCTATATATTATTATTATAAACTTAACCTTTCCAGTTCATTAAATCTTTATAAAATTGTTTATTGCGTGATAAAAATGTTATTCTACTTCAATTATTATTGCAATATCAACAGTAGCTTACCACAAGTCTCACACTACATACTAATAGTTTCCCGTTTCTCATTCAATACTACGTTAATACTATACAAGATATATGAATGAAATACTGTTGACGTGGAGTATGTAGTGACGAACTTGGAGTAAGCAAAGTACATATTTGAAATGCTAATACAATTTTAGTTTGGTGATTTTTATTACAAATTTCCTTAAAAAGACAATAACAATTTAAAATAATTATTTTGACATACTAATTAAAAATAATATTCATAAAAGTGACACGTATTTATTGAATAAATCTTTGAAATGTTCTTCGTCGTCCTTTAATTCGTATATTTGGACCACGCCTTCCGGTGTTAAGAGCGCCTGTTGAAAAAAAAATAGCTTAAGACATGTATCAAATTTATTGCTATATTAATTTTGCAGGCATTATAAATATAAATATACAATACAATCCCTACTAATATTATAAATGCGAAAGATACTCCGTCTGTCTGTCTGTTACGCTTTCACACCTAAACCACTGAACTGATTTTAATGAAATTTGGTACAGACATAGAGTAGATCTTTAGAAAGAACATGGGGTAGTTTTATCCCAGACTTTTGAAAGGTTCTCTTGGAAACGCGATATAACCGAACTCCACGCGGGTGAAGCTGCGGGCGGAAAGCTAGTGGAAAATAAATAAAGAAATCTATTAAAACAAACATATTATAAAAAATAATACAAGTAAAGAAAGAAAATGCATAGAATTTGAAACAAAAATATTAAACTAAGTATTTAATTCCAAGTGTTAGACTATCAGACTCACAAAAGCTCTATCGCTGCCAGCACAGCACAGGGCGCGGTCTGCACAGAGGGCGTTTACATCACTCTGTGCTAGCGACCACACACAGACTTTAGACTGCACGCACAGAATACGGAGAGGATTTGTGTATGACCAGTATAAAGATGTTATTGGATTCTGAAAAATAATAATAATACATATATATAGTTTTTGATACAAATTCTGTGTGTCTATTTATATCTTCTGATCAGTGAAACGTATTAACCTACTTTGATCGAACTTTAACAAATAGAAAGCTGATTTAATGAAGATTAATTTATGTTTTTTGTATCACACATTTTATTAATTTTCATAAATATTTAATAAAAAAGGTGGTGCATCTACTTTATGATTAATGTATTGTGTATAATTAACCAAATGAGACAAACGTTTTGTACCTAAACTTACGTTTTAGTGACAATAATTCCTCAATCAAATAACATTTTGTACCCAGACTTAAGTATAAGTGACAATAATTCCTCAATCAATATTAAACAAATAATTAAGAAGATACATCATTATATGTAGAATGACAAATATATCTTCTATTCAAGAGATCAACTATTAAAATCTTATTTTACATATAAATATAATTAGTACAATCGAAATTATTTTCAGAAAAATTAATAATAAATATTTAATACTCACGCCATCTATTGGTGTGTATTTGAGAGTTCTGCTTTCAACGAACCTGCCCTTGTTGTCGGATAGACATTTTTCTGTTGAGGGCGTTGATATATTTCTGAAAAAATAACACAAATTATATGTATATGTATATCGGCGCTATCAGCTTTAATAACGGATGCGACGGTAAAATAATTTGAGGCTGTCATCAGTTCTTATTAAACCTTATTAGTATTTATGATTATTGTTAAAAGTAAAACGAAATCAGAGATTGTTTAAAAAGAGAATAGAACTATGTTTGAATCTTGGTATAAATATGAGGTCTGGACGCACGACGGCATAGTTCAGTGAGTGCGTATCATTGAAGTATGTTATTATGAAGAACCTTCGAGAAATACAGGAATATTAAGAACAACTGAAGTTTTATTTTAAAATATCATGGAACGTTCTAGAAGAAGTGACATTTGTAATGTCAGCGAGGCTGGCGTCCCTCTCTTTAAAAACAATGAATTTGTAATAAATCCGATATATATAATATAAAAAAAATCCCTAATAAAGTTTCCCGTTTCTCATTCAATACTACGTCACTACTATACAAGATTTATGAATGAAATACTGTTGACGTGGAGTATGTAGTGACGATGAAATTTTGAACATAGTTAAAATACACTCATACTTTTTTATTATGGAAGTGCTTAGACACATTTTAACGTGCAAACTGATAATTTTTAAGTTGCAACTATTACTAAGCAACCATTTACTAAGTTAATGTTCTTTTTTTTGCAAAAAAAATATATAAATCGAAGCATATTTGTCACAAAAGATGTAAATTTAAAATATACCTGCAATCCAACGTAAGTAGAACTCTGTAATCTATGAGAGAACACAAGTTGATGGTTCCAGTATCGGTGGCCGCCAGAAAATAGGGTAGTTTTGTAGTTTGCAAGCACGTAATCATGGTTGATGAGCCTGGAAATATTATATAATTTATTTGGCATCAAATACTTCTACATTTTAAGGCATTTTTCTTATCTTACATACTTACTAGCTACTGGAAATCTATTTATTATAACTGCACCCAGCTTCTTCATACAACACAGTACTTCACCAAAATTCTTCCCAATCAGATAGTTATCCACTTTCAGATGTATTATTTTCAAATCGCTGCAAATAATTCCATTCACCCAAAAATTCGTATCAATTTTATCGATGGCAACACTATTTGTCTTATCAGATTGGAGTGTAGAACTAGATTTCGGTCGCGAGTTTTGCCGTTTAATAATATTTTTCTCCCGTTTCCTAGCTGCAATTCTTTTCTTGGCCGAATTTAAATTGAAATCGGCACCAATCGTTCTATTAGCCTCTAGATGTTCGGATAGAACTATTACTTGGGACCTCTTTAATTTAATTTTGGACCACAAAGCCTTACCGATGTCCGATTTTATCCTCCTCTCCCTAATTATTGACCAGATCGTCAAAATACCTATACGTTGTAGAGAACAAATCTGTGAACAGACGATAATACCAAAAAAAATTATCAGATTTAAATAAAACTAATATTTTTCTCATTATATTACGCGACTTTATTTTTGTAAAAACTGGATAAATGACAAAACTAACTGACAGACATTCACATCTCGTTTTTTTACAAAAATAAAGTCTCCTGGTATAATCCCAAAAATATTAGTTTCATTTAAATTAATAAAATTCAGGAAATATTAGATCTCAAACTTCATATTAAATGTATTAGAACAAAATTTATGGCCTTAAAAGTATTTTTTTTTTTTGGTAGAACATATATTTTTGGGTAAATTTATGCAATTTTTTTTTGGCAAACTATATATACCTGTCCAATAACATCACTTCCATTTGAACCTGTGTAGTCTGTAAATTCTAAGCCCACGATTCTATCTACAGAGATGTCTTCGCAAACGTTTATACCACTGCTGGTAAATGCGCTGACTTGTAGGATATACTGTTGTTGCTGCAAAATATTATGATAAAATATTGATTAATTTGTATGGTTAAGCAGTTATTTTACCAAATAAACATGAATATACCAAATGTAACTTTAAAAGACTATAAAATAGGACCTAAAAGAAGTTAGCTTCGCTGAAATCACTCTTAATATGGAAAAATTTATCATGTTTAAATCTTTTTTGCGGACATCCTACTTAATAAACTTTCAAATTAAGTTGTATGCTATTTTTAATATGTTAAATAATATTTTTTGTTACTCACCTTCAGATAATTGCTGTTATTCCTCAAGTTCCATTCTCTGTCTAACTCACACTGAGTTAGATTTGATTCTTTGACACTATCATCAACTAAAGTAGTAACGTCATTACTCCACCATGCCTCTTCTGATAAATCCCAGAGATTTATGGAACTGTAATACATAAAATTTATTTTATCAGCCTATCAGAGCCCACTGCTGAGCCTCTTCTCACATGGAGAAGGTTTGAGCATTAATCACCACGCTCGCTCAAGACGGGTTGGTGATTTCAAACTTATAATTTGAAATTATAAGTCCAAATAAATAAATTATTATTGTAATATGATAATTAAAAGTGTAACGCTCCTCTAGAAAATTTGGTGCAGAAAAGGAGTTTGAATTATCTCTGTATACCTTTTAATAAAATTATAATTAACTCACCCATCTTCCAAAGCCCCAACGAAGTATCCATCAGTACTGCCTCTAAATTTACCAATTTTGACATTATCAGATGCCATTAATATCTTCAATGGTTCCACTCTCGCTACACTCAAATCCCAAAGACACAACGCACATTTATCCTTGAACACGCCCGCAGTACACTTCTTATGTATAGTTATAATCAAATTGCTTTTACTATCAGAAAAAACCACGCCCGTTATTTCAGTGTCTTTCAATAATGATTTCTCATTCAAACTTTTCGTGCATATAGACATATAACCGCTGCTGAATGGAAATTTTGATGTCTTCACTAAATTCGACATATTAATGTTGCCAGCGTTCTTGCTTAAGACATTAAATACCCTAGACTCTACCCTCTTCATGAATTTCCTTAATTTATTAGCATCATACTGATTCTTCTTTAATTTATTTCTATATTCAATATATGGCAACACTTTATCGTTGCCAGCGCCATTTTTTTGCTCGAAATATATTCTTAAAGGATTCTTTATGTATGTATCTATAATATTGGCTTCATTCATCATATTATTGTTGTTGAATTTTTGGGTCGAGTTATTTGAGTGGTCCTGTTCATTTAAATGTATTATTTGATTGGAAAACTCTATTGGATGCTGGGTCCATTTGGTGCTACATAAAACCTCCTCGGTTTGAACCTCTTCTGAGACCCCATCATCAAATGTTTGCACGGATGTCTGTATATAATTGTACCGTCCATAACTCGCCATATATAATTCGTATGGGATAGGTTTCATTTCAAACAAATTATACGAAATTTCATGAAATTTCACCATACTCAAGATGTCTTCTGCTCTTCTTTTCAGCCTTTCAAATATCTTCCGTCTCTTTCTATTCGCTTTGGATTTCGTGAAATCAATGAATAGAGGTCTGAAATAGTTTTATGATGAATACATTAAATAAAGATTAATACATTCTTCTTATGTTATAGTTCGTTAGACTTAAGCTGAGCTTTGCATTTGTGTGAGTGAAAGTAAAAGTAGTGTTAGACAAAAACTTTTGGAATTAAATTTTAAATTTTTAAAAAAATAAGCAAAACTTGTATAAGTCCAGATGGAAACATTGTGAATATCATGAAAAACAAATTTATTGATTAATAAGAATTTGAAAAAAAACTATACAAATTCTTATTCACTTCACATTGCGTTTTCAACATTTGATATTGCTACCAGTACAAAGGGTGAAGTGAGGAAGGTGCGGGGCGGAGTAGAAGCAGAATAAACCGGTTCAAAACTAGAAAAGAACGTGGCATTCAATAATTTGAAATCACACCTACACTATCCGTGTACACACACACTAATGCACAGCTCAGCTTTATTCAAACGCACTATACTTAATATGAAAGACCTAAGCCATTGAGTGTATTTTCTTTGGGATTATGCCAAAAGATTCAACAAATAATTTCATAAAAGAAAATTCATTTAATAAAAGGACAAAAAAACGATAGTGACAAAGTGTTCCTAATCTTCTTGGGCTTATGAAGTCACCTTGCTACTTTGTCTTCTATTCTACTCTGTTCTATTCTGTTCTACTCTATACTATGATCCTATCTGTCATTACCTGTCTAATATATCCACATGCAGGGTCTTCATACTGGACATTCCCGATGACATATCCTGGAAGCCTTCATCGGTGAGAGAAATCTTCTTATAACTCTCCGGACCCTCGTCTATATATTCCATGGGATTTATCCTATCTTTATTCCGTTCCGGGAGGTCGAAGTTACCTGGAATAAATAAAAGTACTCTACGGTATAAAACTTCTCCAATTTACTTCTAGTTTGGAGAATTCCTACAAATAACAATGTAAGATTATCTATATAATAAAGTAGCAATTGTTTTAGGCTTATTGTAAAATAATTCGAAATTTTTGAGTGTCTAACTATTTAAGAGCATAAATACCTACATACATAATAGTACTGGATACAATTGTTGTCAGAAAAACGTGCGAATATAGCATCATACATGCAGCTTAGGCTAAAAGTATTTAATTTAGACCTTAGCCAATTATAGGCCATTCAAAAATTATTTCTATGGGCCTAATATGGATTTTTAATACACTCAAAGTTTACCGGAATCCAATTTGCTTTCCTCCTTAGATGATGATTCGTGATGAACATTTTTATCACTTCCATCATCATCACTGCAATCCACATCACCAGTGGAACTGCGATTCGATTCACTGTGATAAGAATCGAAATCCGATTCATAGCTCTCAAAATCATCTTCATAACTAACTTCTTCGCCACTGGATTTATCTTTTGTTTTCTGTAAATAAAGAAAATGTAAATTTATTTATTTGAAATTAAAATTAATTAATTTATAACTAGAAGACCCGGCGAACTTCGTATCGCTCTATACTCAAGAAATATCTGTTACGTTTTTTTATTTATATTTTGGAGTTTACCTTTAATCCATAAATCTACCTGTTTTGAAGTGCGACAGAATGATTGACATATTAGTTAGTTGTCAAATCTAATGTCAAAAAAAAACCGTTTGTATGTGAAATAGAAAAGGGCGGTTTTAGGGTTTTCCCGGAAATGAATCAATTTTTTTCAGCTTTTAGACCTTCCCTGAATATGCACGAATATTATCGAGTTTTAGTGAGACTAAAGAACAGTAATTCATTTTTATATGTATAGATTTCTTACAAATATCTAATTGTCATCCATATCTGTCATTATACGTCAATTATATAGCTGTCATTTGCGTTTTGTTATTCTATAAGTCTGATTATTTTTTGTTGTACCACGTTTTATAGTGACTGACGTTTCATGTCAAGTCACACGGGAATGCTTTCGAACGGGGAAAAAAGTATCCTACGTCCCTCTTCTGGCTCTAAAATACCTCCCTGCCAATTTTCAGATAAATCGGTTCAGTCGTTCTTGAGTTATAAGTGGAGTAACTAACCTGACGATTTTTTATATATACATAGATAAATACCTTGTCTTCTAGATCAATAAAAAATGCTTTCGGCTGAGCGCTTAATTTCTTGTTCAATTTTAATAGCTCCGTATTATTATCGACCAGTTCACTTGTTAAAACTTTTATTTCAGCTTCGTCTAAAGTTCTTGTATTCGTTCTCTCTCTTTTTCTCGCGACTTTACTCTCAGTTTTATGTAAAACTTTAGCTCCTTCGTCATCTAGATTCAATTTACGTTTGACTATCGGAGAATTTACTGTTACGTTCGTTAAAGGTAACTTTCTGTTCGGCGCCTTAATAGAATTAACTGCAGATCTGGCTGACAGCGGAATTGCTTTCGAGTTTTTGGCAGGCGTTTTGTTTTTACTACTTGTGCTTATTTGGCTTACTGATGAAGATGATGATTTAAGTAAATCCTTCATTGGTGATACATCACTGTTTCTATTTGATGCGATCTTTTTTGGTGCTTTAACCGCGTCTTTTCCCGCGTATATATCAGCGGTGGATGATTTCTGTATGAAATTTCGTGGTGTGGACACGCTGTACACACTTTTCTTGGTTCTCTCTTCTTGTTTTTTGTTTAAAATATCATCTTTGGAGTGTTCTAGTTCCCTATCAGTTCTTCTCTTTGTAGTTTTCATGATTATTTTCTCACTTTATTATAGTACTAATTGCATTTAAATAATTTATTTCTTGCAAAGGCTTGTATTGATCTTTTGTTATTAGAAAAATACTGTAGACTCAAATATCAGAGTAGAATACAGGCTCACTTATATTAATTATCTTTATATAACATTTATACTTATTTCTGAGTAAAAAGTAACATTACATTTTACAATATTTTATGTACTCCAGCGTTGTCATGGCGACGAATAATTGACATATGTAAGTAGCGACATCTATTGCGTAATTTTGTTTCTATCTAAATTTATAGAGAAATAAAAAATCTATTTTAATTTAGAATAACGATTTTTAATTGTTTTAATGTACTTATTTTTATTATATCAGAAGAATTTAATGTTTTAGATATTGGATTTAAGATTTATAAATTAATTGGTAGTAGACATGTAAGTGGTGAATTAAATATTAAACAGAATTGTATGAAACTTTACATTAACATAAATTCTAATTAAAGACACAGATTAAACTTGTATTATTGATGTTATAATATTAAATCCTTTTTGACGACTTTTTTTATGATTACAAAAAGCAAAGGTCTAAAAATGGTCTGCTATTAAAATAACTTTTTAGAAATTTTGAGGAAAGCTTTTTTTAAAAAGTGACACACATGAAGCGGTATAATTATTTATTAAGTGACAGACGTACATACAGATGTTATATACTAACAAATAAATAAACAATAAACAAATAAAACTAACATGATAATTCAGAGGAAATGTACTTTTATTTATAATTACTTAATAATCGATTAGTAATACAATATGCATACGATTTTGATGCAAGCAATAAATAAATTTCACATCGAGTTGGGTGCTTTGAACATGATTGCTTGACTACCCACAAATAAAACATCCAAAATCGAAATGCGAATAAAAATGGTAATTTTTTAGTATTTCTGCTGTTTCTACAGACCAGCGATGATGGTTGCAGGATCTTCAACTCCTTCCTTGATCTTTCTCAGGAACATAACAGCTTCGCGTCCGTCAATTAATCTATGGTCGTATGTCAGAGCTATGTACATCATAGGACGTATCACAACTTGACCATTCAACGCAATAGGACGCTCGAAGATGCCATGCATACCCAAAATTGCTGATTGGGGTGGATTCACGATTGGAGTACCCATTAGTGACCCAAATACACCACCATTGCTGATTGTGAATGTACCTCCGTCCATTTCTTCGATCGTCAACCTGCCTTTTCGTGCTTTTTCAGCTAATTCGGCGATATTTAGCTCGATGTCAGCGTAAGTCATGTTATGTACGTTTCTTATGACTGGTACGACCAATCCTTTGGGTGTAGCAACCGCAACTGATATGTCTACGTAGTCGCGGTAAATGATCTCGTTTCCTTCAATCACGGCATTCACGACTGGCTGGTCCATTAAAGCAGTAGCTGATGCCTTCACGAAAGGCGACATTAGACCAAGTTTGACTCCATGTTTCTTGGTGAAAGCGTCCAAATTTTTCTTTCTAAACGCCATAATATGGGACATGTCGATTTCATTGAACGTCGTCAGTAAAGCGTTCGTGTTTTGCGCGTCCTTCAATCTTTCAGCTATACGCAGTCTCATTCTGTTCATCTTGACGCGCTGTTCGCTGCGTGTCCCGACTATCTCTTTACTGTAATCTGATGGAGGGACTTTTACTGATGCTGTTTCTATTGCTTGTGCGTGACGGATAGCTGCTACGGGGATGGATGAGATTGGGGCTGATGGTTTTGGCGGAGCTTGCTGAGGCGGCGGAGCTTGCTGAGGGGGCGGGGCCGCGGCCGGTGGTGGGGGTACAGCCGCGGGTGGGGGTGGCGCGGCTGCAGCGGGAGGCGGCGGAGGCACTTCCTTGGCAGGTTCTGGCGCTGCGGCAGGCTTTTTCGGAGCCGCCCCAGTGATTTCCAGCCTGAACAGCTTCTGCCCAGCCTTCACTGTTTCTCCATCTTTGACGTAGAGTTCCTTAATGATGCCGTTATCCGGCGCCATCACTGGTATAGCGGTTTTGTCTGTTTCGATCTCAAGCACGACTTCGTCAGCGGCGACTGCGTCACCAACTTTCTTGTCCAACTTGACATCACCTTCCGATACTGAATCGGGAAAACTTGGAGTCATGACATCCTGTTCCGCTAACAGAGTGTTTGTGAAGTGGAAGGACGCTGTTTGGGTGTTGGATAGAACTCTCGGCTTCGTGAGGGCATCTTTGGGCAGGGAAGCGCAGATCCTGGTGACTTCTGACGACCTAAAGCGGAGACTTTGACCCTGCCGCCGGTATATGGTCTGTAGGAGTTTGGAGCAGCGCCTCAACATCTTGATCGGTTTATATCAACCTGGAAATTATATGAAGATTATATTATTACTTATATTAATACTTTGGTTAGGAGAGAGGAGCTTGGACGGTGGAGGTGAGCGTTTAATGTTAGATAGGGTCCCTTAAACCTACACCTGGGTCACAAGTCACAGTCACTGTTGAAGCTCCTCTCACTACAACAATGGACCCGACACTATGGTTTGATGAGAGGTTTTGTCTCATTTTAAATCATTGTTCATCAAAATATATATATATTTCTTTATAATCTTTATCGTTTTATGTATTAAATATTCTATGTATATAATGATGAAATGTAACAGCATTGCAACATTGATAAGATATGGAATTACTATGAAAATTCTTTTAACAAAGTTACAGTAAAGAATAATTATAATTTCTCATTAATTACTATATTAACATACATAATTAGGCATAAACATGCCATTAGTTTAAGTCATACCAATAAAATGAATTTAAGTTAGATTGTAGGAAGATGAACATACAATTGTGCTACTTGAAGTCATAATACCATTTATTTATCGATTAAAATATCAAATAACCATATCAATATGGTAATAATGTTAAATTATTTATTAATGGAGTACTATTTTTAGATTTGAGAGTTAATTTAACAGAAGGATCTAGTTTATAATACAAAAATCAATACTGTCAGTTACTATGTTTTGTACATCAGACAGACAGATATGAAACTTCTCATCATTCCATGTATTCACGGTGCGTGTGTCGGGTCCATAGTTGTAGTGAGAGGAGCTTCAACAGTGACTGGGACTTGTGACCCAGGTGTAGGTTTAAAGGGCCTCTATATAACGCGTTAAACGCTCACCTCCACTGTCCAAGCTCCTCTCTCTACCAAATTTGAAACAAGCCTACTAGGACTGAGTTTTTAGTACATTCTAAGAATGAATTAATGTTAGTTCTGGACAGCTTGCAAGTATAAATACAGATTTATGAATGAAAAACAGGAAACTATTAGTAATTAGTTCAACAATGCAAAACTTGTGGTTAAGAAACTATATGTAAGTCAAAGTGTAGTTTACAGCAGTCTTGGAAAGCAATGTATGATAGAATGAACAGGTAGAAGAAATTAAGATTTCCAATAATTATCACTGAACAATGAAATTCAGCTGTAATAATTTATTTACGATGACCATGAAAAGCTTTGCATTACTATATACAGCGGCCCAAATAAGCTAAAATCTCCAGACTAAAGTTAGACTTAAATCAACACTAAGGTATATTAATTAAATGAAGGCTGTACATGGTGAAGCAAAGAGGTTTAAATATAAAATCATCGAAAATTTTATTTTTAATAAAAACTTTTTGGTTAGTAACTTTTTAATATTTAATTTAAGTCAATTAAAAATGATTGTTAATGAATCTACTACATTTAAGGTTATTTTATGAAAATGTTAAATGTATGAATAAAAAATTAAAACTGTACATGATATATTAAAAATTGAAATGCTATAAAGATATTAATCAATATATACATATAAATATATGTTTGAATAAATCGAGAGTTAAGAATTGTTACTTGTCAAGAAATACGTAAATAGAATAGTTGATAACTGTCAATAATAAAATTCTTATTTGAATCGCGTTCTTTTTGGCAGAAAACCCATTAGAGTTATAGTCACTGACAAAAAACTATCAATTAGTTACGAAATCACTGATTAGAAATGTAAACAATATATAACCAAAAAGATATAATGAGTGATTGTGGAGCGATAAATATCATATCTCATGAATTGACACTCGAGGTTAATCGATACTTACCTTAATTTGAGTAAACACAGATTGATATTGGCGAAAAAAATGTTACATAAGCCAAAATCGTATGACACACTAAATCGATATAGTTATGTTATGTGAATAATAATGTGATTGTAATTTAAATTTCTATATACTTCACTTTTACACGCTGCTTTGTATATTCGTGTTTTCCAAGATCTACATCAAGTGCACCTCTCACCCTTGCGATGTCTTAAACGGGTTGGCTGTTGCCGCCTGGCGAATTTTACACCTGTCATGTGCTTTAACCCGGATGGGCGTTCCGTTTTTCCGTATAATTGAAACAAAGTTTGTAATTAAAACAATTGTTGTATTTAATTAAATCGATTAAAAGAATACGGATATTTAAAAATATTGACAATTCTTAATTTGTAATTAAATGTAAAATAAGCGGGAAAGTATTGACGTAAAACGTATAATTATTGTCTATAGCAAGCTGGCAGACCGATTCGTAGTTTTGCTATTCGATACCAGATGGCTCTGACAACTGAAGTATAAAATATAAATGTACTTAATGAATATATTTTAAAGAAATGAAAAATAAATTTGTATGTATTATATAACAATTATAAATATTAAAATACCTATATTCTATTATACATAAAGATACAATAAAATATCAGTTCCCAAATGTCTTTGAGAGATGTGGAAAGTGACAGAAAATTTTGAATATTTAATATTTAAACATTAATTTCGAGTCTATAATTTTTTAGAATATCTTCTAAATTCTATTATTTTTTTTATATTAAATATTATATTATATATTACATATATATGTCGCTACTTATCTATATATTAAAAGTCAGCCACAGCCGCTATTTACAAGCGCAGTCGGTAAAGCTGTCAAAAGCACAACGATGCACAAATGATGACGTCATGCTTAAGAATACAGGGCTGGCAAAAATATATTTATTTATACGGAAAATAAATTATTTTTTTTTTAATTATATTTATATATTTATTTTATTTAAACTTTAATAATTATATTAATGATCATATTGTTTTGATAAAAAAGAAATTTTGTAACATATATTTTGTATAATCTCATAAAAAAGAATATAAGAATTTATGTACATATATATAGTTATATTAAATTTTATTATAATAATATAATATTATTAGTGGTAACCCTAAAGAGCATATTTTTTTGGTGATTTGGCATCTTCTTCTGCAACTGTTGTGTCACAAGTCACGAGAGGTTTTCTTGTTTTAATATTATTATTATAATAAAGATTACTCAAATCAAATTACTAATAATAAACATTTAAATGAATTATTAAAATAAGATTGAGTTGATTAAATATTTTGATTGTTTCCAAAATCTTTATACAGGGTGACTGGTGAATTACTATCGATACTTGAGGACGTGATATTTGACGATCATATATGACAAAATAAAAATTAATATAACGTAAATATTAATAAACTTCTAAGTAAAGTTAACCAAAAGTCATGTTATTAATTACGCATCGTGTGAACACCCTACAGATTAGGTATACACACACACACACACATACGCGGCGGGGGCGTGGTGTTGTATCAGCACGCCGCCGCACGCGTCCACACTTGGAACACTTGGAACGTGTCAACACTTTATTTATTTATACGGAAATTTTGTCAAAAATTAAGTACCTATTTTTTTTACATAATTCGAATGAGAATCATGGACCGAGTGTTCTCCTAAAATATTGATAGTAATTCACCAGTCACCCTGTATATAAAAGAATGTCGTGTTAGTTATACTATTTGTAACTCAAGAAAAGGCTGTACGGGTTTGGATGAAAATTGGTAGAGAGATAGATTAGAACAATGAAACGGAAAGAGGATTTTTAATTCTGTTCGATCGAAATAGAAAAGAAATATGTACTGCATAAACTCTAATATCTAGTTATTCACAGCCTCTAGGTCGGAATTGAGTTCGCCCGGTCAAGCTGTACATATATTACTAAATATTATGTAGAAATTAAAGCAGACGAAGTCGCGAGCAAAAACTGGTATATTTTAATATATTACACAAATTTTATGTAATTATATTTCATTCAATCAAAGTATGATAGTTCAGTTAGTAAAGAGACTGAAATTTGATATCACTGTGGTAGTAGGTTTAAATCTTCTTCTTCTTCTTCTACCTGGCAATTTCCCAGCTATAGCCAGGGTCTGCCTTACATGTTGTGTATAGTTTTTGGCTATTTGTTTTTACGATCCGCCTGCCTGACATCAACCCTCTTTAGGGAATAGATAGTAGGTTTAAATATTGTATTAAAATTCTATAATAAATAGTTTAAAGTTTATAACTTGTACCACAAACGTGTTCACTTGCAGTGACATGAAAAATAGAGCATTCGAAGTGACTACCCATCTTATTATACGCAGGCCTAGTGACACTTAACATTATATGTGCTTTTTGGGATATACGTAGTTTTCAACTATTTCAATGAAATTCCTTTGTTTTTATTGATATTATTGTGAAAAAACTTACTTTTTAGCGAGTATTCATTTAAATGAAACTAATATTTTTGATTACTACGTGTATTTTATTATTTTAACTACGTACTCCCGACGTTTCGGTTACTTTTCAGCAACCGTGATTAGACAGACGAGATGTGAATATCTGTCAGTTGATCTTGTTATTTATCATCTCTTCTTCTACCTGGCAATTTCCCAGCTTTAGCCAGGTCCTTACATGTTGTGAATAGTTTTGGCTAATTGTTTCTACGACCGCCTGCCTGACATCATCCCTCTTTGGGAATGCATTAATCAGTGATGTCTAAATACTCTTATAAAGTACATTTGACTCGGAAAAATCACATTGGTACTTGCTAGGATCGAATCCGCGCCCGGGTGCATGAGACGCGAGCCTTTTAACCACTAGGACACCGGTGTTTTGTTATTTATCATCTACCGCCATCGATTTCGTAGTTTTTTGCAGAATGCGCTCATTGTGTCTCGAGGTCCTGCGGTGTGGTCAAGAACATGAGAATTTATATAATTTTATGAGGTTTTGGCAATCTAGCCATCTTCTCTATTGAAATTTAGATATTTTTTATTGAAATTAAATCCGAAAATATCCGTTTTATGCCTAACTTATTCATCTATGATGCTTATATTGTAATGTTTAAATTATTTATAAAAATAAATCTTTTTAAATATTGTTAATTTTAAATGAAAAAATAAATAAGACCTTAAT